ACTCCTGAGTGCTTTAAAACCAAAGAGAAAACTATACATCCTGCTCTTTGAGGCTTTTCCATATGAAGAGAAAACTTGGAAGTGCCGCCATCCTGACTTGAGTGGAAGCCCCTCTGACCTGCCATTTAACACATATGTGTCTTAGTACAAAAAAAGGCATGCGATGCTTTCCTCTGCTGCAAAACAACTCCTCACACACATCTTTAAAATGCCTGTTGCAACTGTACCCACCTCCTGTGCAGCTCCTGGTGGGAGCTTTTGCCTTGGCTGCGCTCAGCAGACCACTCTCCTACCACAGCTACATTTGCTGGATGCCTCTACTGTGCTGCTCAGGAACTGAGAATAAAACTGGCTAGAAGCGAGCAAGAGCTCAGTGCGTAATTTTAAAAGGCTCATAGATTCATAGATTTTAAGGCCAGAAGGGACTGTTACAACTGCCTTATCTGACCTCCTGAGTAACACAGGCTATAAAACTTTACCAACTTCTCCATCAAACCCGTAAATTCTAGTTCAGCTAGAATATAGCTTAGTCAACAAAAATAATTTCGTGCAACTCACTTGGAGGCACTTCTTCTCAATTAAGGTACTCAACCCCAGCTATTTCAACTATGATGTTTTTTCTTTTGATCACTTCCCTCCCCGCCCCCCAACAGAAGAAGTACGTCTCTCTTCTACTGCTCTTCTGGCCAAAAAGTGGTTGAAACATATGCGCTCGGTATTTATACAAAAATTCACCCCCGGCAGATTCTAAGCCTGGGAAATGTTAAGCTAGAAAGTGTCTTCCAAAAAGCTGTAAGTAACTGAAAACAGGTGACTGAGTATGAACAGTTACACAACCATAATAAACCTCTTGGTATCAATCCCGCTGGAGTGCAGAACAGCAAGTCTTTTCATGCTGTATGCTGGAAAGCGAGCTGATGGAGACAGCACCCAGCTCAACCTACGGAGGGGAAAAAAAGGTCTCGCTAACAGCTTCCAAGAGATGCTGAGATGTTCCCCAGCAGCATTTCTCAGCTAGGCAAGGGGCCCGCTAGGCCAGTCACAACAAAGCTGGGAAGTCCTTGCTGCACCGAAGCAGGTGTTCACGCTATTTCCTCATTAAAACACTCTTCACTTCCCCTAACAGTGAGCATCCCCATTTGTGTGGGTGTGCACACGGTTATGTTCTTATCACCCTCAACACTTGGGCAGCAAGGAAACAGCCCCACTGAGCAGCAATGGACCGTAGAGCCACAGCATGACCAAGATGCAGACTGCCGACCTTTGGAGACTGCAAGTGGCAGGAAGGCATGAAGGAAAACACAGTGTACGTGCACAAATGATAGGAATGATGTTACACGTTCTGCAGCAAAAAGAGCTTAAACCAGACCTTTTCACGTAGTAAATACAAAGTACCCTCTGCCTCGACCCTGCAACTGTTTCTGCAATTAACTGTTGCTCTGGTATTATCCTGTACAAGATTGATTGTTTACTGCAAAACACACAAGAGAAGGAGTTAGCTGCCTGAAGCGAGCTAGAGCAGGATTCTCCCAATGCCGCCCTAAAACTTGAAGGTGTACGTACTGATGATAAGTTAGCACCTCGGTAGACCTACTGCTACTGCCATTAGAGGGGGCCTGGAAACCTGCTCTTCTTTGCATAAGGTACAAAGTCAGACACAAAATAAGACACGAGTCCACTTCACATTTCTATGCTCATACTGATTTTTAAAACCCTACATTTAAAAACCAGATTAGGAGCTTCTCTTTTCTCCTAGATGTCAGGCCAATGGGTTTTTCATGATCAACCTAATTGGCAGGAGAAGGAAAAAGTATGATTTCATAAAATCAGGCAGCCAATTCCCCACATGGAAAGCCAAAGTTGCCTCGGAAACACGGCTGCTTCCGCGGTCATCTAATTTTGCCTGTTCTATCCCATGGGACCAGGCTTTAGAGAGGCATCATTTATTTACAGGCCTTTCCCCTGGACTTCAGTTATCGGCCAGTAATACTGTGGACACACACACTTCTAATGGCCTATGTTTTGAAACCAAGTCTAATCTGATGGCGCAGCGCCCAAACTCCTTTTCCAGCATAGCCATTAAAGGATGTAGGTTATTGCTGTTGTCACCATTGATATTTGTCATTGTAATGTAATTAGGGCCCTAAAATGATGCATTACAGCCCTTGGCACAGCTTCTATTAAAATCTTTTCTTCTGCTCACTGAACTGCGACCTGCTTTCTGATGAATAACAGACAGACAGCTTTAGGGTGAGGAGCAGATTCATCAAAGAAGTATTTTTCAGCTCTGGAAATAAAATAAATAAATAAATAACAGAGGGCAACCTAAGAAGAAAAGCACAAGGAAAGGGGGGGAAAAAAGGGAAAAAAAGCACACGACACATTTGAATTTCATCTGACCACTTGAAATTCTGATTGCATCTGATGAATCTTTCTTAGGACAATATATTCCCAGCCTGTGAATCACATGGTTAATCAGGGCTCTAATCTGCTATCCATCAGCCTATGCCAGCACTGTAACTTCCAATCAAATTTATAGGTTATGTGGGTCACGCATCCCTGAACAACTACATTCACGGATATCCCATTTAAACCGGCACAGATTTTGAAATGCTGTTGTTAGGGTTACTGAATGTTATAATACTATTCAAAGCTTTATGAAAGCTCCTGATAAACAGCTGCTAAATTATTGCCTGTGGATACAGCGTGATGCTCTGAAATAGCATTAATGGCCCAATAAAAGGGTGATTGTTCATGCCAAAATATAAAAAGGATAGCTTTTCCTGCCATAGTTTGTCAAATATGTTAACAAACACCGACACTTCTATTACT